GCTCCTGGCTTTCGCCAGAAGTAAGTCCAAGGGAGGCCCACTGCTCCTCAACGAAAGCGAGAACGTCCATCTGCTGGTGACGGTCTGGAAGGTCCCGGGGGTGGCACAAGTCATCCAGATGTAAGGAATGCGCCCTCGGCTCTGCCGTCACAGGGGCTGCTAGTGTCCTTTGGGTTGGAAAAGCGCGCTGTGCCGGTTCTGAGCTTCAGGGGAGTAATTGCCGCGGGCCTGGTTGGTGAGGCCGCTGCTTTACACACACACCCCGCTTTCCGGTAAGGGGAGGCTCGGCTGTGCTTGCTTCATGCATGCAGACAGTACCGGGGCTATTGGCTGGGCCTACTTGCAAGGTGTGTGCCTTTCAATCCTGAAGCTCAAGAAGAGGAATTAACAATTTTTTTTGTCCTGATCCATCACCAAATGATTAGAAAGGTCCCTTCCTCTTTGTTGTGATGCCCCAAATAGAATATGAATAATAACTTTTCTTTTAAACTGTAGCTATGCCATACTGAGAAAGTTTTCATCTGTTTATTTGACACCATAAAAGCACATTTACTACTGGATGTAGTTGTGGTGTAGAGAGAGGAGGAAGGATGGTACTCCTCCTCCTCCCCTCAGGACCTGTGTGGTAATGCAGGACCCCTGACAGGCCAGGTGGATTCAGTGTGTGTCTGGTTGGAACCCTATATGTGTCTCTTCTCCTTTTACAGTTCTGTGAGTGCAGCTTCCACCAAGGACGTTTAACAGTTAACAAAGACCAGAATCCAGATATAGAGCTTCCCCCTAGTGCTTGTTAAGGATTAATGGCCTTGCAGTGTAGGCCTAGTTCTGGAAAAAATTTCCTTCTCCTCTTAGGCATTCCGTGTCCCTCTTATCTTCTTGTTGTAGACCACTGCCCCATGGCATTCGCCCCGAAACAGCTGAAGTTTGTCTGTTCACAAAAGATGAACCAAACTTATCAGCAGAACAGACTGAAAATCTGTACAGGAAACTTTTACTCCAGCATGGGATCAGAAGCATTAGCCAGGTAAGCAACTGGAAACCTCCCAATGTAAAATAATATTTGAGTTCTTTGCAACTGGATTGTTTATGCTGTTAGCAGTAGAACTAGGAAATTATTTTATTGTTGTCTTTAATCCTGATTTAGATGTTACCGTGTGCTCAAGTTCTGTTTGGTGATTTGCAGTTACTGTGCAGGAGATCCATGTTCAGTTCTTAAAACAAATTCTGTGTCCTTTCTCTATTGATAGTCTTGAGCTTCTAAAAAAGTACACTGAGATAGACGATCACTTAGAGAGGTCCATTTTGTGCAGTTCTAAGAAGTGTTCTAGGCTGTGTTTTCAGGTGTGGGGACTAAACTGGAGTGAATGACTTGTTACTTGTGTTGCAGATCATCTCATACAAAACTCTCAAAAAAGAGTATAAAATGTTTGAAGCAAAGCGTCGCCTCCTGAACAGATTTGATCTCTTTCTGTCTGATGAGCGAATTAGAAGGCTCTTGCCCTCACATCTAGGAAAACACTTTTATGAAAGGAAAAAGTAGGTCTTTAAATTCCGTATATCCATTTTGCGTTATATTATTTCCCCCCCCGCCCCGGTCAGATTCTTCTTGGTAAAGTTTTGGTTGAGTGGGCTTTGCAGAGGGTTGGGTTGGGTTTGGGTTTGTATGTTAGTTTTTAATTTTCATTGGGGTTTTGGTTGTTTTGCTTTCTTAATTACCCCCCTTCTTTTTTAGGGTACCTTTGTCTGTTAACCTGAAAGCCAAAAACCTTGCAAAGGAACTACAAAAACACATCCAGGGGACTACACTCCCAGTGACCAACAAAGGGTGCTGTTAGTAAGTATGAGCAGATTAATACTTCCCATGAAGGATGGTTGTACGTTAACTGTAGAAACTTTAAGTGAGTTCTTTTTATTCCATTAAGATGTGAGTAGAACAGGTTATGGGTCACTACTCCAGATACGGGCATTTTGAACCTTAATGTGTATAAAGAAAGTAGTTCCACTTAATAAGCAGTTTTACTGTAAAGTTTTACTTTTTGTCTCCTTACACCTCAGGAATTTCCAAGCACCAGTCATTGTCAAACAGCATGTACAATCTTAGAAAAATATTACTGTTAAATTAGATAAAATCTGCTTCCAAAATATTCTATTCTTGTCTTTTTCATTTATTGTGAATCTCAAAGGGTCTAAATTGGGAAAATGAGGGAAATGGGGTTGTGCTCTCCACAACCGCCTAAAAGGAGGATGGAGTAAGAAGGTGGCTCGTCTCTTCTCCCAAGTGACAAGCGATAGGACAAGAGGCCTCAAGCTGCACCAGGGGAGGTTTAGGTTGGATATCAGGAACAATTTCTTCACCAAAAGGTAGCCAGGCGTTGGAATGGGCTGCCCAGAGAAGTGATAGAATCGTAGTCACTGGAAGTGTTCAGGAACTGTGTTGATGAGCCCTTAGTGACATGGTTTAGTGGTGAACTTGGCAGGCCTGGGGTAACGGTTGGACTTTATGATCTTGAAGAATCTTGATTCTGTGATTCTATGAATATGCTTACTAATATAAGGCACAAGTTGCATGTTCAAACGTGGAAATGTTAATACAGGTAAAACTATTCTAAGTGTTACTACACAACACTTCTGCAGTAGCCAGCCATCGTTTATGAAAGCTAATTGCAGATAAAGAGGTGCATTTAATTTCTAGGTGTGCATAAACCCAAGTAACTTGAAGCATGTTTATTTTGCCCATGTATAAGTATTATTCATTTCTTTCAGTACAGCACGTGTAGGTCACACTGGAATGAAAGTGGATGAGATACTGGATAATATTGTTGCAGCAGCTGAGATGATTGCTAAGAAGTTACCAAAGGTACTGCAGGTTGATTGCGTTAAAGCCAAGTTGGTTCATAATTCAGCCTTGTGCTTTCTACATCATGTACTGGTTTTGTTGTTGCAGAATTGGAAAAATGTAAAAATTCTTCACCTCAAAACACTCAAATCAGTTGCACTGCCAATTTATACTGCAAATCTCTCCAACTTGGATGAGCTTGACAGCCAGCCCTCTCTCAGAAAAAAAGAAGTAAAGGTAAAAAAAAAAAAAAAGTTCTTCAAACTTTCCATAAACCCAAAGTGGAACAACCAGTTCTTTGGCTTCTTTTATGCATATAGTGTCTGATGTGTTGGGTTTAAATGTTTTAACAGTTGAATTCTAGGCATTTGTGGGTACAAACGGGTTAGGTACTCCTGGCTTTGAGTGCTTCAAATAATCAGTAATACAAATGAATGGTGGAATCTTCCTGATAGATTAGAAAGCAAACTGGAAATAAATAAGTTGAGCATTTCTAGTTCTAAACTGTAGGAATCTGAGATTCAGTCTTAAAACGTTTGTTTGTATTGTTTGTTCATATTTGCCTTCTGAAAATACAGTCAATATATACATGGATTCAGATTGTTCACCATTATTTGTTGGCTAATCAGTGGTATCTGAATAATCCACAAGCTCATACACTTGTATGGATTGGGGGGGAGGGACTCACATACTTTAAAAAAAAGTATTCCGTTTTGCCTATTATGCTCTTTTGTGTAAAATAGATTTGGAGCATATATACTCAACTAAAAGAATGTAATCTTTACATTATTGTTCCTTTACTTATGAGCTGTTTGTAATAATCTTCTGAAAGTATTTTATATATGGTTGACAAGTCCAGGTCTATTCAACCACACTAAATTGATGTTGCTAGACTGTCTTATTTTTAACCATATTAAAACAATTATACATTTAGAAATGTTATGGGGATTTGTCTGAGAGATACTTTCAATTACTTCTAGAAGGGAAAGAACAAAAAACCGAAGAAGGCAGCTAAAAAACAGAATTCAAGACAAGTCACTTCGACAACTGAAATTAATGCTGCTGCTACCCAGGAACCTGCGGTAAAAGAGAAAGCAGAAGTTGTCCATGAACCAGGTGATCATAATGATGAAGAAATTCCTCAACTAGTGCCTATGGAAATAACGAGCTTAGATGATCTGAAGGTAATGGTTTAATAATATCTCAAAACTCATAGTTCAGTTAAAACTAAAGGTTTTGAACTGTTTAAAATTGTTCCTTGGGAAACAGTGTGTGTTAACACACTTGAACTGGATTTTTGTGACTATATCATGAAAGCAACTGTTGAGTGTAGGAGGGGGTGCTTTGGGAAGGTGGTTAGTTTGGGTTGAGTTTGGCTTGGGGGTTTTTTACATATATTTTTTTTTTTTTTTTAAGTCAACCTCTCTTACAGACAGCATTATGCAACATTAACAATCACGTAATACAAATTGAGAGCACTTTAACTATGTGCTACTTCAGGAATACCCAAATGAAAATTGCGATTATGTGCAGGCCTGCCAAAAAACCTCATACAATTTCAAGTTGCACCCATGTGACCGGCTTACATTAGTGTACATGATGTGATCGCCAGAGGCCTATTTCCAGAGACAGATACAAATAGACTATGAATTGTCCTGATGACAGCAGCCTTCTTTCATGAGGGCCATTTGGGAATGTATGATGAACTCCAGGGAATACTAGGCCTACTGTCAGTTTGTGTGTATACAGCTGGACTTCCAATGGAGTTGATCCCTATCCAGTCTATTAAGCCTGGAAACGTGTCAAGAGGAGGACTGTGGTTTTAAGCTGTGCTAGCAGAGGTCAGTGACTTGACTGGTCAGGAGGATCCTTGCGTCTGTCAAATCTATTTTCTTAGCTTTTCCCCCACCACCACCACCATTATTTTTATGACTTAGTTCTGTGTTTCACCTTCTGCTTTCAGACTGAACTGTGAACACATTGTTTGGGCTAGGGCACTGTTCAGTTAATAGAAAGCTTTTGTAATTTATAATAGTTTTCACTGATGCTGTTTCCTGGAAAAATGTAAAGATGCTTCTTAGGTGGGAGGGTAACTTATATGTCTTAAATACAGGTAATGGAACAAAGTCCAGAAAAAGGTGACAGAATGGTCAAGAAAACAAAAATGCCCCTTGGTAAGAGAAAGAAACAACCTCCAGCTCTGGAGACTCCAAAACATGAAGCTACAGAAGAGTGTGCAGACTTGCAGACAAAACAGAAAAAAGCCAAGCAGGTCGGCATGCCAAAGGAAGCAATAAAAGAAAAAGAGATGAAAAAGACTCCCAGAAAGCCTGAATCAAAGTCTTTTGCAACACCCAAAGCTGGCAAATTGATCCAATCAGCCAAGAAGTCTTCAAAACCACCAAAGCAAGCATCCAAGAAAGGGCGCAGGCTACAGACACAATGAGTGTTGTCTGTTGTAACACATTTTACAGTCATTTACCAGTGTCGTCAGGTAAAAAAATACACTGATGAAGTAAAAAAACCTTCTTAAGAAAATCCAAGAGATTTTTTTCACTGAGACCTGTAATGATTCATTTCTGTTTCCTTCTGACTGACTAGCTGGAGTAAATAAACTCCCAGTCTTAATTGGCTCTACTTCTTACCTTTTCATCTTTTCCTTACCTAATCTAAAAGTTTTCACATTCTTTTAAGTGTCAAAGGGCAGGGAGGGGACTATACCAGGAACAAAAGCTGAGATATTTTGTAACTGATACTTTCTTGAATGCAAGAAGCATGCATACCAAAAGCAATCTATTTAACATGGGATTTAAAATGTGAAATAACTGCTACTATTTTTCTCTTGAATAGTTCAGTATAGTGAAAGCAAGTTGACATCTATTGATCTTACTCTAGACATGTAAGTTAGCAGCCTGGTAACAAGCCAATTTTAATGTGATGTTTAGCTATTTATACCTAGGGTGTTTGTGTGTTAGGTTTTCTGGTTTGGTTGGTTTTAAAGCACAGATAATTCTACCATTCTATGATTTGACCATTTATATTTTATGACATCAACCAAAAATCTCCTTACCTTCACTTTTGGGCTTTATTTAAATCGAGGGGATCCCCGTACACTGGTCACAATTCTGCTGTTTCTTCCATCTGAAAACCACCAAAGGCTGTATGAATTCAGGTGTGCCAGCCGAGTGAACCAGGCCTGTAAAGGCATGAAAAATATGCTCTGCAGAACTCTGCAGATCTGAAATTTTACAGAATATCATATTGTTGCTCACTGTATGATTACTTAACATCCATCTCAGGGTGACACTACAAGGTAGTTTTGTGATGAAAAGTCCTAGTGGTAAAAATCTTCAGCATTATTAAAATCCAACTAGGTAAAAGGTCATAAGAGACAAGAAGATTAAACAACAGCATGAAACCAGTGAAATTTGCAGAGTTAAAAAAACCGTCTCGTATTTAGGACATCCCATAGTGGTGGGTTTGCTGTGTTAAAGTAGTGTATTGAAGTGGCAACTAACTCACGTTCCTCACAGATACACTGGAGTCAGGAAGTGAACCTTTTGAAAAACTGGAGTATTAGAAACTAAAACTAGAGTGAAACAACTTAATGCAGCTGCCTTGCAACTTACTACTGTACTGAAGCCAAAGTGCCTTTCCCCTCCCAAAAAAGTCTGCTAAACTCCTTTTGTAAGAGGTTAAAATCTTAAAAACTACATTAAAAAGCACCTAGCCATATAAATCAGAGTAGAAGTTTAAAAAATAGAATATAGTGGAGATACAGTCAATGTATTAGTAACTTCAACAGTGTGATGTTTTGAACAATATTGAGTTCTTGCTGAAAAATTAATTTCCATGGACATATAAATAGAGAATAAAAATACTGTCTAGAAAAAAAACACATAGACTAGTTTCTGCCTGTAGCTGGTCTGTAAACCTGCCATGCTTACAGAAGTCACTAGATTTGTATGCATGTTTGGTAGGATGAGGGTGATAATTTATGCTTCCAGATTAGCCCTTAAATTCAGCATTACTAGGAATTCTTGCTTTATTATTAACTATCAAACCAAAGTTTTGGCAGGAGGGAGGCAGAGAAAATAATAGAAGCTTATTCTCAAACTCATTTTGTAGGAGGTTATTACATCTTGTGTCCTAGGGGGAGGCAAGTTCGGTGTACACGATAAGAGTGCCACAGTGCTAGAACTATGAGTTAAATAGCTCTTTTTCCAAATAGTCTGGTTTAAGATTATTAATAATGATTTCTGTTTGGAATTCCCTCAATATTTGCTATTCTGTTGTAATTAGATCTGCCTTCTCACTCTATCAATCTTCAGATTAAGCAAAATAGTCATTATTTCTTTTAGGGTTGTATATGATTATTAGAATTCCTACTACCATCAAGATATAATCCTAAAATTAGCTTGACTTCCTAAGAACTACTCTGAATCTAATGGAATATACCCCTATAAACTAAGTAGGTTTATGAACTTCATTCAAACTTGGATAACTGGTATATTATTTTCTTTCTCTTACGCTTGTGAGAGGCAAAAAAGTTAGGTTATTTAGCATCATAATGTGAGGCAGAAGTGGAACCATAGGTGTTTTACTGAGGCTAGGTTTAAACTTTAAAATCAAAAAGATATCCCAAAATAATCAGGAAGAATGGGAACATAGGCTTTTTGGAACCATAATTCTTCTCAAGATAGAAGTTAAATGGAACATATTTTATTCTTTAAGTACTTAGAATGATTTTAACTATTTTTAATAGGATTTCAGCTTGTGTTCTCCTAAGAACATGTTTTATGGAATAATGTCAGTAACAGAGGCAGTCGCTAATAAAGAAATGGCTTTATCTAGTCTTGGTTCTCAGTGTTCAGTAGGAGCAGTGGTAAGTGAACTAAATGCTGTGACAGGAGTCTGTTGATAGTAAACCAGTAGCACTCATTGGCATTGGAGGATTAGTCTTCCTCAGCAGTACTGTTTTCACACTGAACTTCCACATATACATGGAAGCTGAATATGCCCTTAGGCCTGTCAGCCTTCCCGGTGGCTTGATTTTTCTACTTACTGGAACAATGTGGCTTACCCATCGTTAAACAATCTGTTAAAAATAAGGGCCTCGTGAGAGTACGTGCAAGAGACCCTACAGCCAGATATAGTTCTTGGGCTTGAGGACTTGGGAGTGTTAAAAGGGACGTACCAGGTCATTAACTGACAGGAGTGAACTGAAATATGTATCTTGCCTTTTACATAACTGTTTTATTTGCTGGATTTTTCATCTTGCATTCACAACTAGTTTCCTGCTTGTCAACCTCAAGCTGTATTCTAACTACTCTTTTTAAGCCAGCTTCCTCAAGGACATAGTCTGTATGACTTTGCAGATGCACATTATAACTGTCTTGTAAATCTCTGTTGCCTACTAGTAGTTGCCTCCTTTTGCAAGCGTGGAGGCCTGCACCACGTACACTCATCTTGAGACCACCTTTGTGAAGTGCCACCCTTCTACGGTGTCTGAGCAAACCATGGCAAAGACCTTACCCCTTCACAAGGTGACACTGCCTCAGCTGCAAACGGGTTCAGCTCCGTCTGTGACCACTGCTGGCAAGGGATGCTTCAACTCCAAATGCTGCTCTTCAGCACCCACTCCTGCTATTCTCTTACGAAGAGGAGCAACACCTGATGAAGAGCCAGCTGTGCTAGCCACTTCACGAGGCAGGGGCAGGAGGAAGGGGCCTGTCAGAGGGCGGCCAACACCGCTGGTGGGGGAAGGCCAGCTGTAGGAGCCGGGCCTCGGCAAACGAGGTGCCAGGCACCCCTGGAGCGGCTTAGGACAAGGCGGTCAGTGGCTGCTCGGTGCCTGTAGCCGCGGGGCGGTGCTGAGGGCGGTGGCGTTCCC